TGCTTTGGCATGTTCCTAGCAGCGTTTTCCTTCATTTCTGCCTTTACGTGTGGACGGGATTATTTTTTAAAACGAAAACGGAAAATCTCCGTTTTCAAAAATACCCGTGTACGTGTGGACGTAGCCTAAACCTCAGAGGGGGTAGTGGGAGTCCTCAAACATACTGGGTGGTTTAGCAGTGCTTTCCCTTTAAATCCATGTTTTCCTGTAGGATGGTGTTCTTCTCGGAGCGGTGGGCGCCTATGACTGGAATGGTGCCGTGCTGAAAGAAAGCAAACACGGGAAAGTTGTTCCACCGAAATCATCCTACCAGGATGAGTTTCCAGAGGAGCTGAAGAACCATGCAGCCTATCTGGGTAACATTGATATAAAGTGTACAATATGATATGTGATATACCAGCCTGTAGTCTCAGTAAACTAATTGTCCTGTATCTGGTCTGTGGGTCCTCAGAAGGAATGGTGAGCACAGGGGTTGTATAGCTGCGATACATGAGATCACTCTAAGGCTATGCCCTCTATGATGTCATACAGATTCAGTAGTAGAAATAAAACATGATAAACTGACTGTTTAGAGCAGTCTGAAGTGTGTGTTTGGCCCATTCTGGTCACATTACTTCCCCCTTTGGAACAGGAAACATATGACAGGAAATAAGAAAATGCAGAGTCGGTCTACTTTAAGCTTTCTCACCTTGGAAGAATCAGAGGAAATAGGTCTAACAAAATGGAACGGTCAATGTGTGCAAGTCAAACTAATCAGTTTTTCATCTTCAGGGTACTCGGTGGGTTCACTCATTTCATCCCGCGGGTCTCAGCTTTATGTAGCTGGAGCTCCAAGATTCAACCACACTGGAAAGGTGATCATATTCACCCTGAAGAACAGCGGAGACCTGACCATCTGGCATGCACTGCTGGGAGAGCAGGTGTGTTTTAATCATTAGAAACCACTGTGACCATATTTGAATGAATTAAACCTGGTGGACATTCAGGTATCTCTTCCTTGGTGTAATATCTTGTTTCTTTTCTATGGTTTATTTGTGTTTTTGTCTAGATTGGGTCATACTTTGGCAGTGAGTTGCTATCGATGGACATTGACAGTGATGGACAGACTGATGTCCTCCTGGTGGCAGCACCCATGTACTACAGCCATGGCTGGGAGAGAGGCAAGGTTTACATCTACTCTGTTACACCGCAGGTATAAAAACCACGTACTGCTACAAAGGAGCAACCAATTTCTCTGTAACTGTCATTATAGCAGAAGAAGTTGTCACAAGATGATAACCCCACACAAGAGTCATGGACAAATTATGAGACTAAAGGTCCTGTGCACAGATTGGTAAAAGTACCTCAACCCCCACTGACTGAGCTTTATCTATCTCTTCAGGTTCTCGAAAAAGAAGGAAGACAGACTTCTTTAGGCTCAAACCTAAAGGAGTCCAGCTGTCTTCTTTTTCAAGCTCTTAAAACTAGCATGACCTGGATGACTGAGAGCCACAGAGGTTCAACTGGTGCTCAGTTTGCTGGTTTTCGTGATTATTTTGAGTTTCTCTCTCCTCCTGATTGGTTTCTGTGTCGTTTTGAATGTTTGTTGGACTGACCTTCCAACAACTAATGTGAACTATGACTTCAAACAAAGCCTTGTTCATGCCCCAGCTGTGTGCTGTTAGGCCTGTTCAGTAATCTGTCCACGACTGGATTGAAATTACTTTTTTAAATGAAACCTTGATTAATAAAGAACAAAACCTGAACCAAAGAATGTTTTGTTTCTGTCCAGACGTCGTTTGTCCTGCAGGGGGTGCTGGAAGTGTCTGAACACTCCCAAAACTCCCGTCTGGGCTCAGCGTTGGCTCAGGTACCTGACATGAATGGAGACGGGTTCAAAGAGCTTGTTGTGGGAGCACCACTGGAGGATGACCACCAGGGGGCAGTCTACGTCTTCCATGGCAAAGACAAAACCATCCAGCTTCAGTACAGACAGGTAACCAGTCCGGATGCTAAGGGACCTTAGCTGGAAGAGATAATGCAGCATCAGAGAGCCCAGAGAGTTTTAATCTTCTCTCGTTTTGCTTCTCCAGCGTCTGTCTGCGGCTGGTTTTTCTGCAGGTCTTCAGTATTTTGGCCAAAGCCTTCATGGCGTCTTGGACATCAATGCAGACGGACTTGTCGACCTCGCAGTGGGAGCGCTGGGAGCTGCTGTCATTGTCTGGTCAGAGCCTCATTCATAAACTGACAGATGATTTGACCCTGTAAGGCTGGAAAAATGAATCAAATCTGCGTT